GTGAGGCTCCGCACGTGAGGCATCAGTCACAATCAAAGTCCAATTCAGTCAGAAATGTGGCGACGAAGCAAAGAGAATAGAGGAAGGAACAAGTACAATTGTCACACAATGAATTCAATGTGCTACCCGCACTCGAAAGAGATCAATATGCAATCCACTCAAGGCAGATCTGGAAGAAACGAGACTTACGAGCACCACTCTAGGCAGTGAGGAACAAGTCCGCGTATACAAATTGCCACCACCAAACCGCAACGAGAAATGAATATGAGAGGCAAACAATGACAAGCAAGATGTACAGGGAGATGGGCAGTTGCGTAAGCAGGGCAAAACAACACGCTAGCTCAACGTTCACCTTCGCGGAGGTTCCCCAGGCAGGAGAAAACGAACGTTCGCGGAGCCTTGCGCCGGGAACCTTGAGCCGAAATGGCTTGAGTCAACCTGGTCACCGCCAGGAACCTCGTAGAGCTCCTTGCACCCGTAAGAAAGCTCAGGATCGAAGCGGAGAGCTTCTGGGAGGTTTCCTAGAAAAACGTCTAATTGAGATTTTTCGGAGTCAACATTAAGTCGGTTCCGGGAAGTCAACTAATACTAAAACTGGCCCTAGAGAGCTGAGCTGCTGAGGGAACAAAGTTTACATGCCGATGCTCGGCGTAAAAATCTGCTTTCTCAAAATGAATTGTCAAATATCTTTCAAATATTAGCAAAACCGACTAAAAGTTAACACTTTGTCCGCCTCCGCCGGGTCGGCCAACTAGCTCCACCCCGCGCCGGAATAACTCGTAGAGCTTCCCTTAGCTAGTTGCTGGAAGCTTTAGAATTATTCCCGGGCGCTGGAGAGCTAGTTGGCAACAAAAAATCTCGACTGACCTTGTGCTGACTTTTCGTCGGCTGAAAATTTTGTTCTCAAAATTCAACCATTCGTTAGAGCTCTAGTATTGTTTCCCATGATATTCGATCTTATTCCCGCTCGCCGTCTTAATCTCAGCTCGATCGGGTAGATACTACTGCCAAAAAGCATCCCGGCGGGATCGGCTGTTTCGAGTCATCTTGACACGCGCTGACGGTTTGTTGTACTTAACTCGAGCTGCAGGACAGCTACAGAGCTGATATTTACAGAAACCGATTCAGAGTCATCAGGCGCGTTCGTCTGTTGCATCCAGAGGTCTGAACTCGGTCTGCTGCCCGAGCTAGGTCGGCGAAACTATTCGTATTGTTCGAGTCATCTCGAGAGGTGCCGTCGGTTCTCTGTACTGAACTCGGGCAGGAGGGGGGCGACAGGGCTGGTGATCGCAGAAACCGATTCGGAGACATCAGGCGTGTCCGTCTGTTGCATGCAGAGATCTGAAATCGGGCTGCTACTCGAGCTAGGTCCGCAAAACTATTCGCACCGCTCGGGTCATCTCGGCAGGGACTGTCGGTTTTCTGTACTTAACTCGAGATCTAGGGGAGCTACAGAGCTGATACGCACAGAAACCGATGCAGAATAATCAGGCGCGTTCGTCTGTTGCATCCAGAGGTCTGAACTCGGTCTGCTACTCGAGCTAGGTAAGCGAAACTATTCGTAGTGTTCGAGTCATCTTGAGAGGTGCTGTGCGTTTTCGCACGTAACTCGGGCTGTAGGAGAGCTACAGAGCTCATACGCACAGAAACTGATTCGGAATTATGAAGCCCGTTCGTCTGTTGCATCCAGAGGTCTGAACTGGGTCTGCTACTCTGGCTAGGTCCGCAAAACTATTCGTATTCGTCGAGTCATCTTGACAGATGTTGTCTATTTTCTGTATTGAATTCGGGCTGTAGGAGAGCTACAGAGCTGGTACGCACAGAAACTGATGCAGAAGCATTGGGGGCTTTCGTCTGTTGCATCGAGAGGTATGAACTCGGTCTGCTACCCGAACTAGGTTCACAAAACTGTTCGTATTCGACCGACATTTTTTTCGAAATGATGGTGAATTTCTTCACTGAACTCGAGCTGCAGAGCAGCTCGAGAGCTCTTCGGCCGAAAATCAGAATGACATCATGAGGCGCGAAGCATCTAGACGCTTGGTTTGGGTCTGTTGTGAGCGCAGACGCCAAACACGGATTCGTACTCTGCTATTTCCTCCCTAATGGTATTTTCTACACGCTGCAGATGAGCTATAGAACTGCTCAGCACAGCAATGGGATATCACTAGTCGCCTGAGATCAGTCTGTTATCAGCGCTCGGGCTGAAAAACTGGGCGCCGGCGGTAAACCGTCAACCTTTCTTACCGCCGGGAGACTCGTAGAGCTTCCTTTCCATATATTATGTCCAAAGAAGTAGCGGGGGGCGAATACTTTTTCAGTCCGAGCGCTGATAGCAGACTGATCTCAGGCGTCTAGATACTATTGCCGCTGATAATTCCATTCCCATTGTTGTGCTGAACAGATCCAGCCAAGCGGCGCCTCATGATTTCCATCTCATTTATGCGCCAAAGAGCTCTCAAGTTAGGTGAAGAAATTCACCGTCATTTCGAAGATAAATCGGTCCAATACCAATAGTTTTGCGACCTAGCTCGAGTCGCAGACTGAGTTCAGAGCTCTGGATGCTTCAGACGAACGCGCCTGTGATTCTGAATCGATTGTGTGTGCGCACAAGCTCTGCAGCTATGCTAAAGCTCGAGTTAAGTACAGAACACCGACAGCGCCTGTTTAGAGAACTCGAAGAATACAAATGGCTTCGCGGACCTGGCTCGAGTAGCAGACCTAGTTCAGACCTCTCGATGCAACAGACAAGCGCGCCTGATGATTCTGAATCGGTTTCTGTGAGTACCAGCTCTGAAGCGTTTCAGTCCGAGTTAAGTACTGGAAGCCGACAGCACCTGTCAAGGTGACTCCAGGAATACGAAAAGGTTCGCGGACCTAGCTCGAGTAAGACCGAGTTCAGACCTCTAGATGTAACTGACGAACGCGCCCGATGATTCTGAATCGGTTACGTATGCGCATCAGCTCTGCAGCTCCTCTACAGCTCGAATTAAACACCAAAAACCGACAGTATCCGCCAACAAAATTCGTAGAATACGAATAGTTTCGCGACCTAGCTCGAGTAGTAGACCGAGTTCAGACCCCTAGATGCTAGAGACAGACGCGCCCGATGATTATGAATCGGTTTCTGTAAACACCAGCTCTGTAGCTCTCCTACAGCCCGAGTTAAGTACAGAAAACCATCAGCACCTGTCAAGATGACTCGAATAATCAAATGTTTCGCGAACCTAGCTCGAGTAGCAGACCCAGTTCAGACCTCTAGATGCAACTGACGAACGCGCCTGATGATTCTGAATCGGTTTCTGTAAGCATCAGCCCTGTAGCTGCTCTACAGCTCGAGTTTGGTGTTTGGTCAGGCTACACAGGGCGCGTGCGCCCAAGCCTAAGGGCTAGAGCCAGTTAAATCCGCCTCCTCCGCTTTGCAGAGGAAAGTTCTTTAACGATGTGCTCCACACCTGTGCACAGGCGCTCGGCAGCAGATAATTCTGCCTCCGTCACGGTGGCTCCTACATCAAACATGTAGGTTTCTGAGCTCACGAGTGTCCACGGGCCATTCTCTGGAGCAACTTCAATCCAGTGACCTCCTGCGGCACCCTCACTGCTCACTCCACCATCCCAGCATCCTCTGATGTATTTGATGTTTGTCCTGTTCTGTTTGATATAGTCGTGCTTGTAAATTATGTAACAGTTTCCTTCTCTCGCATGGTGTGTAAGCTCATCAGCATAGGCATTGGCTTCCCTATAGATATGTTTCCAGAAATCCCTTCCGTACGTCGGGCATCGCATGTTGTGTTGTTCACTCACGTCATACATGATATTTTGTACCCTGGCGATCCGTTTGGCATACCCACTGTTGTCACAAGCCCAGACTCCCCTCAGCCATTGTACGACCGTCTTACTGTCACCGCACACTTCAACAGCAATCCCTTCCATCCCAGGATCCCATATCGTAGTTTGTTCATTTATAACTGCAAGACGTCGAGCCAACTCGTCATCTGTCGGTGTCTTCGCAAACCCTCCCATCCTCCCCTCCTTACTCCTCCTCGCAAACATATCCTGCACTTTGGGTATCTGTGATATGTGCTCCACAAACTCCTCCCAATCCGTCGGTACAACGCACGTGTCGTGCCATAGAAGAGACCTCCATTTTTCAAAGGGTGCATGCCAGCTGCTCGCCACGATTCGTGGTCTGCCTCTGAGCCGTCTCGTTCCCTCCCTCGACATCGTCCGACTTACTGCCGCCAGCATTTCATCCCTCTGCACCGTCCACTCCCCCGATACGTGCAACATGGAGCGCAGCGTCTGCTGCCACGATTTGCAACAAACAGTGGACGGCATGTGGCACTTATATTGGGATACCTCCACGGCAAATTCAAAGTTATATCTCACAACTTTCTCCACCAACGTTGTGAACCCCCCCTCTTTGAACATCTCCCTGGATCTATTGGTACTGCGATCCCTGAACTCCTCGCGTGTCAAGATGACTCGAAACGGCCGATCCCGCCGCAACGCTTTTTGGCAGTATAAGGTACCCGATCGAGCTGAGATCAAGATGGCGAGCGGGAATCATATCGAATATGGCGGGAAAAATACTAGAGCTCTAACGAATGGTTGAATTTCGAGAACAAAATGTTCAAGCGACCAAAAGTCACCAAAAGGTCCGTCGAGATTTTTCTTGCCAACTAGCTCTCCAGCGCCCTGGAATTACTCTTAAGCTTCCAGCAACTAGCTAAGGGAAGCTCTACGAGTTACTATTCGTTCTCTGCTAATTCTTTGGACATAATACATGGTCAGGAAGCTCTACGAGTCCCCCGGCGGTAAGAAAGGTTGACGGTTTACCGCCAAGGACGAGCCGAGAAACTCGAAAAAATACGCTTTTCGTTTTAACCCAAGATACGTTCGTGCAAGTCTTTTGATAGTAACTGGGATCCGGCGGTAAACCGTCAACCAGGTAACCGCCGGGAGCCTCGTAGAGCTCTTTTCTCGCGCGGCGCTGCTCAGAACACACAGAAAAAGCTCTCACAAGCGTGAAGAAGAGAGCTCGAAAAATACGTTTTTTCCGTTGTCATCCAACGTCGGTTCCCTTGATAGCAACATTGCATCTACGGACCTGAGAAGTGGACTGGCAGACACACGTGAGAAAGGTATGTTTCCCGCTGGTTTCTGTGCGAGAGAGCTCTCAAGCTCATCTGCAGCTCGAGTTAAGTGAAATATTTCACCATCAGTTCGAAAAAAAAACGGTTGCATACGAATAGTTTTGCGGACGAGTAGCAGACTCTGGTCAGAGCTCTAGATGCTTCAGCCGAACGCCCCTGATGATTCTGAATCGAGTTCTGTGGTAACCAACTAGCTAGCTCAACTACAGCTCGAGTGAAGTACAGAAAACCGACAGCGCCTGTAAAGAGAACTTCAGAAATACGAATAGTGTCGCGGACCTAGCTCGAGTAGCAGACCGAGTTCAGACCTCTCGATGCAATAGACGAACGCGTCTGGTGATACTGAATCGGTTTTATGTGCGCACCAGCTCTGTAGCTCCTCTGAATCTAGAATTGAGCACAGAAAACCGACAGCACTAGTCGAAATCACTCGAAGACTACAAATAGTTTTGAGGACCTAGCTCGAGTAGCAGACCGAGTTCAGACCTCTGAATGCAACAGACGAACGCGCCTGATGATTCTGGATCGGTTTCTGTAAGTAGCAGCTCTCTAGCTTTTCTACATCTCGAGTTAAGTACAGAAAACCGTGAACGCGTGTCAAGATGACTCGGAACACAGTCGGTTCCCTCAAGTGATTCGATAATAATATTGCAGCTACGGACCTGAGAATTGAACTGGCAGACGCGGCATAACCCACTACACGTGAGAAAAATCTGGTTTCTTAAAATGAATGGTCAAACTGGGAGCCGGCGGTAAACCGTCAACCAGGCTTTTTTTGCGTCTTTGCTGGGACCATCTTGGCCACTGAGGCCAGGTCCAACGAAGTCTCAGGCGAAGCGAAGCCTCAAAATTGCCAAGCAAGCAGTCCGCTCTTATAGAGAAACAGAAGCATGCATGACCAAAGACGTTCGCACAACCTGTAGGAGAACATCGCAGATGCGCTCCGCCGCTGAAGGCTCGTACAACCCTACAACAGTGAGAACACTGAAGAGGCAAAACTAAAACTACGACAAGAGAGCCAGGAGACCTGGCCAAGAACTAAACATGCACACACTGAATTATTAAAGCACGGCCCATTTTCCCCGTCACGAAACGGTGAGATTTGAGACAATCCAAAAGTTCTCCCAGAAACGACTGAACATGATCCGTGAGGTTGAACAAAGTATGGAACCAAAATGATACATGATGTTTTGGGATGGTCATTGGCTCTGTCATGAGGTCTACGAAGAATTCAGGCCCCTGGATTAAATACTGCAGCGCAATCTGGCCAGTGAACCCCTTCTGGGCAGTGCTCCTGTCAATCCATGTTTTGACGGCGTCCTGGAAAGTGAGCTGAGTTTGCACACAGGCGTCCGTCAAAGTGAACTGAGTATGCACGCCAGCATCAATTGAAGTGAACTGAGTTTGCACACAGGCGTCCTCGCAAGTGAACTGAGTTTGCACGCCGGCACCCACTGAAGACACTCGAATGCTTTGAGAATGCACTTGGACCTCAGCATCAATTGAGGACACTCGAATGCTCTGAAAGGGACAGTGCACTTCGTCAACCTGGACACCAGCATCAATTGCAAATACTCGAATGCTTTGAGAAGGATATTCGACCTCGTCAACCTGGACCCCAGCATCAATAGCAGAAGAAAAACCGCGAAGTGCAACGGAATCAACTTTCGGGCAGCTATCAGAGGGATGGAGTAATGCTGTCAACAACTTATTAGCCTGAGCATCCAACTCTGCATGCAAGACCGTGTCACGGGCAACTAGGCCTTCGAGCACCAACGGAAGAGGACAATTCGGTCGAACCCATCCAAATTGGCAAGCCCGAGCCCGACGCAAACCCCTGGATGCGAGACTCCGCACATGACGCATCTGGCACAAACAAGACCACAAATGATAGGTATATGGCAGAAAACTGAGGGAAGATGTGCGAGGACACCTGAGAGATCACAACAATGAAATACTGCAAATTGAACAATATGCAATCCACTCAAGGCAGATCTGAAAGAACAGAGACTTACGAGCACCACTCTAGGCAGTGAGGAACAAGTCAGCGTATACAAATTGCCACCACCAAACCGCAACGAGAAATGGATATGAGAGACCAACAATGACAAGCAGGATGTAAAGGGAGATGGGCAGTTGCGTAAGCAGAGCAAAACAACACGCTAGCTCAACGTTCACCTTCGCGGAGGTTCCCCAGGCAGGAGAAAATGAACGTTCGCTGAGCCTTGAGCCTTGAGCCTTCAACCAGGCTACCGCCGGGAGCCTCGTAGAGCTCTTTTCTCGCGCGGCGCTGCTCGGAACACACGGGAAAGGCTTTCTCAAGCGTGAAGAAAAAAGCTTGAAAAATACGTTTGTCCCGATTTCATCCGACGTCGGTTTCCGCGATAGAAACATCGCATCTGCGGACCTGAGAATTGGACTGGGAGACACACGTGAGAAATATGTTTCTTCTGATTTCTGTGCGGGAGAGCTCTCAAGCTCATCTGCGGCTCGAGTTAAGTTAAAAATTGCACCATCAATTCGAGAAAAATCGGTCGCATACGAATAGTTTTGCGGACCTAGCTCGAGTAGCAGATCTGGTGAGAGCTCTAGATGCTTCAGCCGAACGACCCTGATGATTCCGAATCGGTTTCTGTACGTATCAGCTGGCTAGCTCACCTACAGCTCGAGTTAAGTACAAAATACCAACAGCGCCGATAAAGAGAACTTCAGAAATACGAATAGTGTCGCCTAGCTCGAGTAGCAGACCGAGTTCGGACCTCTCGATGCAACCGACAAACGCGTCTGGTCATACTGAATCAGTGCATGTACGTACCAGCTCTGTAGCTCCTCTAAATCTCGAGTTAAGTACAGAAAACCGACAGCACTTGTCAAAATGACTCGAAGAATACAATAGTTTTGCCGACCTAGCTCGAGAAGCAGACCGAGTTCAGACCTCTGGATGGCATAGACGAACGCGCCTGATGATTCTGAATCGGTTTCTATAAGTACCAACTCTGTAGCTTTAAATCTCGAGTGAAGTCCAGGAAACCGTCAATGCGTGTCAAGATGCTCGAAACACAGTCGGTTCCTGCAAGTATTTTGATAGTAATATTGCGGCTACGGACCTGAGAATTGAACTGGCAGACGCAGCATAACCCACTACACGTGAGCAAAATACCGGTTCTCAAAACGAACTTTCACACTGGCGCCGGCGGTGAACGGTCAACCTGGTCACCACCGGGAACCTCGTAGAGCTCCTTGCACCAGTAAGAGTGTTCAGAATCGAACTAGAATCATGAAATGACGATTTCCTTAAAATCTTGATTTTTCGTTTTTTATGTTCATATTAGCTCGGTTCCCGGAAGCCAACTCATAAGAAAATGCAGCAGTAGAACTGGGTCGCTCTCAGAGTAAAGCTTATATGCAAATGCTCTGCGTAAAAATCTGCTTCCTCAAAATAAATGGCCAAATATCTTTCAAATCTTAGCTACACCGACCAAAAGTTATCACTTTCTCCGCCCGGGCCGGGTCGGCCAACTAGCTCCACCCCGCGCCGGAATTCCTCTAGCTCATCCATGCCGAAGCTCTACGAGGTATGCTTCCAGCAACTAACTAAGGGAAGCTCTACGAGTTACTTGGTAGCGTCCAAAACTTCGACATCGATGAGCTAGAGGAATTCCGGCGCGGGTTGGAGCTAGTTGGCCGACCCGACCAGAAGAGACAATGTGATAACCTTGGGTCGGTTTTGCAAATATTTGAAAGATATTTGACAATTCATTTTGAGAACCGGTATTTTTCTCACGTGTAGTGGGTCATGCCGCGTCTGCCAGTTAAATCCTCAGGTCCGCAGCTGCAATATTACTATCAAAAGACTTGCTGGAACCAACTGCGTTCCGATCTTGACACGCGTTCACGATTTTCTGTACTTAACTCGAGATTTCGGAGAGCTACAGCTGATGATTACAGAAACCGATTCAGAATCATCAGGCGCGTTCGTCCGTTGCATCCAGAGGCCTGAACTCGGTCTGCTACTCGAGCTAGGTCCGTCAAACTATCATCTTGACCAGTGATGTCGGTTTTCTGTACTCAACTCAAGATTCAGAGGAGCTACAAAGCTGGTACGCACATAAACCGATCACCAGGCGCGTGCGTCTGTTGCATCGAGAGGCCTGAAATCGTTCTGCTACTCGAGCTAGGTCCACAACACTATTCGTATTTCTCAAGTTCTCTTTAGAGGCGCTGTTAGTATTCTGCACTTAACCCTAGCTGTAGCACAGCTACAGAACTGGCACGCACAGAAACCGATACATAATCATCAAGGGCGTTTGGCTGAAGCATCTAGAGCTCTGAACAGAGTCTGCTTCTCGAGCTAAGTCCGCAAAACTATTTGTATGCGACCAATGTTTTAGAGTTTTTTGGCTCTCGCTTAAGCTTGCTTCACGTGTTCCGAGGAGCTGGGCAAAAAAAGAGCTCTACGAGGTCCCCGGCGGTGACCAGGTTGACGGTTCACCGCTGGCGCCGGCGGTGACACGTCAACCTGGTTTTTGTTTGCGTCTTTGCTGGGGCCATCTTGGCCACTGAGGCCAGGTCCAACGAAGTCTCAGGCGAAGCGAAGCCTCAAAATTGTCAAGCAAGCAGTCCGCTCTTATAGAGAAATAGAAACATGCATGACCAAAGACGTTCGCACAACCTGTGGGAGAACATCGCAGATGCGCTCCGCCGCTGAAGGCTCGTACTACCCTACAACAGTGAGAACACTGAAGAGGCGAAACTAAAACTACGACAAGAGAGCCAGGAGACCTGGCCAAGAACTGAACATGCACACACTGAATTATTAGAGCTCAAACAATGCACAGAATGACCACACGAGGCAATCACAATCAACAATCAAAAGACCACGCGAGGCAATCACAATCCACAATCCAATACAATACAGCGTACAATACACAGAGAGGTAATGTATGCAGACAATCATGTTCAACCTGGTCTTTTTGCGGACTTTGCGGTCGACTGTGCAGGCTTTCCAGCCTAGTCGGAGCAAGGAGCGGACGTATCCAAACAGGCAAGGCGTGAGTGAGCACAAACTCTTATTCACATCAAACCAGTCCGAAATACGCATGTTCAACCCGCCGTATGACAAGAGGCGTATGCTCAACGTCACATGTGAAGTAATCAACGAATTAGACGGGGAAACAACCCGTGGAAGAACGTCACCTGAAGAATATGAGGGGCTCCTGCCCTTTACACACCTGAAGCGCTTAGTGGGGCCCACAGCGGGCCGTAGAGCCATCATGGCTCCAGCGAGAGGTCAAACAGAGAGATAAAGTGAGGAAAACAAGAACAGGTGAGATACAAGCATTACAGCCTTCGCTGTTCTAAACCGAAAGTTGCATACAAGTGCGCACGAATAGCTTCATCCCAACTTGTCGAAACTCCTCGGGCGTCCGAAGAATATTATTCGGTAATCGCTGCACTTGGAAACCTCAAGAAACTTGGCCATCTCGGCGCGGTTCATGTGTCCTGTCAAGAACCTGTGCACCTCGAAGAATCCTAGGAGATCCTCCAGCGTCGCTTGCACATTCTGGAGCATCTCATACAGTTTCCGAGCATAATCTTTTTGGGCCTTCTTTGTAGGGAACCCACGTTCTGTCACCAGCTTATCAAACAAATCCATTCCGTTCTTTAAATACTGGATCGCATTCAACTCGTTGATGCTGGCAACAGCGTCAATCCACGCTTTGACATCGGCAATGGTGGCCTGAGAGCACGTCGATGTCCCCTTGACCTTGTCACGATCTCTCCCTCGAGTCCTCTGGCGCGACTCCTTCGATACCTCATTGAGCGCGACGGGGCGATTCAGACACCCCTGGGACGCTCCTGACAAGGCGCGGCTATCAGAATCAGACTGCACGTTCGGAGAAGACTCCGCACTCGAGGGCGCCTCAACCTGGTCACCGCCGGGAACCTCGTAGAGCTCCTCACACTGGTCAGAGTGCTCAGAATGAAAATAGAATCATAAAATAAAGATGTTCCTAAAATTTTGATTTTCGATTTTTTCGATGTTCATATTGGCTCGGTTCCTCGAAGTCAAGTCTTAATAAAATACATCGGGAGAGTTCACCTGCTGTCAGAGAGAAGATTATATGTCAATGCTTGGCCCAAAAATCTGCTTTCTCAAAATGAGTGGTGAAAATATCTTTCAACTCTTAGCAAAACCGACCGAAAGTTGTCACATTGTCCGTTCTGGTCGGGTCGGCCAACTAGCTCGACCCCGCGCCGGAATTCCTCTGGCTCATCGATGCCGAAGAGCTCTGCGAGGTTTTTTACACAAAGATAGAAAAACCTACCCCAAATCGTCACATTGTCTAAGGTCGGGTCGGCCAACTGGGCGCAGGCGGTAAACGGTCAACCTTTCTCACCGCCGGGGAACTCGTAGAGCTTCCTGACCATATATTATGTCCAAAGAATTAGCAGAGAACGAATAGTTTTTCAGTCCGAGCGCTGATAGCAGACTGATCTCAGGCGTCTGGTGATATCCCATTGCTGTGCTGAACAGTTCTATAGCTCATCTGCAGCGTGTAGAAAATACCATGAGGGAGAAAATAGCAGAGTACGAATCCGTGTTTGGCGTCTGCGCTCACAACAGACCCAGACCAAGCGTCTAGATGCTTCGCGCCTTATGATGTCTTCTCATTTTTCGGCCGAAGAGCTCTCGAGCTGCTCTGCAGCTCGACTTTAGTTCAGAAATTCACCATCATTTTGAAAAATATACGAATAGTTTTGTGAACCCAGCTCGGGCGACAGACGGAGTTCAGACCCCTTCGATGCAACAGACGAACGCTCCCAATACTTCTGCATCATTTTCTGTGCCTATCAGCTCTGTAGCTCTCCTGCAGGCGGAATTCAATACAGAAAATGGACATCTCTCGAAGGATACGAATAGTTTTTCGAACCTAGCCCGGATAGCATACCCAGTTCAGACCTCCAGATGCAACAGTGGACGGGCCTGATCATTCCGAATCAGGTTCCCTACACATTGGTTTCCATAAATACCAGCCCGGTAGTCCCCCTACATCCCGAGTTACGCGAAAATGGTAGAACCTCTCAAGATCACTCAAACGATACGGATAGTTTCGCGGACCTAGCTCGGGCGCAGACCGAGCTCAGATCTATGATGCAACAGACGAACGCACCTGATTATTTGCATTGGGTTCTGGGCGTGTCAGCTCTGTATTTCCCCTCGAGCTGGAGGTAAGTAAAACCGACGTCTCTGTCAAGATGGCCCGAGCGATACGAATAGTTTCCTCGACATAGCTCGAGTAGCAGACCAACTTCAGATCTCTCCATGCAAGAGGCGGACGCGCCTGATGTCTCTGAATCGGTTTCTTCAGTTACCAGCACTCCAGCACCCCTAAGAGCCTGAGTTGAGTACAGAAAACCGACAACACCTCTCAAGATAACTCGAACACTACAAATAGTTTCGGAGATCTAGCTCGGGCAGCAGACCGAGTTCAGACCTCTGCATACAAAAGACGAACGCGCCTGATGACTTGAAATCGACGGTAAACCGCCAATCAGGTTACCACCGGATCTCGTAGGCTCTTTTCTTGCCCAGCGCTCCTGGAACACGTGAAGGAAAGCGAGAGCCGAAAAATGCTGAAAAATCGGTCGACAGCGCTCCTCGGAACACATGAAGGAAGCTTCTGAAGAGAGAGCCCAAAAACTGGAAACATGACGATTTTTCGGTTTTCATTCAAAGTCGGTTGCTCCAAGTATTTTGATAGTAATACTGTACCTACAGACCTGAGAATTTGACTGGCAGACGCGGCATAATCTACTACAGGTGCGAAGTATCTGGTTCTCAAAAAAAATAAAAATATCTCTAACCGACCAAACTGGGAACCAACGCTAAACCGTCAACCAGATTTTTTGCGGACTTTGCGGTCGACTGTGCAGGCTTTCCAGCCTAGTCGGAAGCAAGGAAGCGGACGTATAGGGAGCAGGCGAAGCCTCACCGATCCTGACGATCAGGAAGACGACAGCCTAAGCTCTTATGAGTGTGTGAAGTGAAGCACGCACGCACAACACGCACAAGCATGGCATGAGCGAGCAGCGAACACCAGGACCCTCGTAGAGCTCTTTTCTCACACGGCGCTCCTGTGTCGAAATGAAGAAAGCGTCTGGAGCAAGACCTGAAAACCTCAAAAAAAAACACGTTTTTCTGTTTTTACTCAACGTCGGTTCCTCCAATTGATGGTAATACTGCAGCTGAGGACCTGAGAATTTACTCGCAGACGCGGCATAACCCATTACAGGTGCGAAAAATCTGGTTTCTTAAATAAATGGTCACATATATTTCAAACTGGGCGCCGGCGGTAAACCGTCAACCTTCCTTACCGCCGGGGGACTCGTAGAGCTTCCTGACAATATATAATGTCGAAAAAATGCAGAGAACGAATAGTGTTTCAGCCCACGGAACGCCCCCGATGCTTATGAATTGTCTTCTGTACGAGCTCTGTAGCTCTCCTACAGCCCGAGTTACGTGCGTAAATCGACAGCACCAGTACGAACCTAGCTCGAGTATCAGACCGAGTTCAGAGCTCTGGATTCGACAGGCCGACGCGCCTGATGTCTCCGAATCGATTCCTGTGATTACCAGCCCTGCAGCCCCCCTACAGCCCGAGTTTTGTGCAGAAAACCGACAGCTCTCTGGATGACTCGAACAATACGAATAGCTTCGCGGACCTAGTTCGGGCAGCAGACCGAGTTTCGAGCTCTGGATTCGACAGGCGGACGCACCTGATGTCTCCAAATCGATTCCTGTCACTACCAGGTAGCCCCCCTACAGCCCGAGTTAAGTACAGAAAACCGACAGCACCTCTCAAGATGACTCGAACACTACGAATAGTTTCGCGATTCTAGATCGGGCAGCAGACCGAGTTCAGAGCTATGTATTCAACAAACGAACGCGACTGATGATTCCGAATCGGTTTCTCTAAGTATCAGCTCTGCAGCTGTCGTAAAGCTCGAGTTAAGTACAGAAAACCGAGAGCGCCTGTGAAGATGACTCGAATAATACGGATAGGTTTGCGGACCTAGCTCGGCTAGCAGACCGACATTTCATTTTGAGAAACCAGATTTTTCGCACCTGTAGACGGCTGTGAGAGCCTCTGCGTCTTAATATGAGCTCTGTAGGCGCATTTCAACTGTCAAAACACTTGGCGCAACCAACTGTAGTTCTACATGAAATTATTCACTGCGTGGAGCTCCCCATATGCGCATCTACTCGCATGGACCTGTCCGCCGTGAATGTCTAGGCGCAAGAGCTTTCGAATATTAACGGGCTTCAGTTGTGACGGCCTGGACATCAATCTAACTGCGAATGAATTGGAGTGTGAATGAGCCTCAGTAGTACGAGCGCGTCTCTGTGCATGAGCCTGGGGCCTCCTGGGGCCTCCTGAAACCTACTGGGGCTTCCTGGGGTCTCCAGGAGCCTCTTGGGACCTCCTGGAACCTCCTAGGAAGGTTTCGTGCCCCAGGAGAGGCGCAATCTATAGCAACAGACGTACATAAAACATTGCGGATTAGAGCCACAGGAGATGGGCAAGCTATAGGAACACGCGAAAAACACCAAGGACTCGTGCCCCAGGAGAAGCCCAATATATAGGAACATTACGTACATGGGTTTAGGACACAGGACAATCTATAGAAACATACGTATAACATCAAAGAATCGTGCTCCAGGTGAGGCCCAATCGATAGGAGCATACGTAAAACACATGGGATTGGAGCCACTCCTGTTGCCTTCTGAGGCCTCCTGCTCCTGGGGCCTCTCGGGGCCTCCTGTTGCCTTCCGAGGCCTCCTGGCGCTTCCTGTTGCCTCCTGGGGCCTCCTGTGGTTTCCTGAGGCCTTCTGGAGCTTCCTGGGGCCTCCTGGAGCCTCTTGGGACATCCTGTGGCCTCTTGAATCTTTCTGTGGCCTCCTGATGCCTCCTGGGACCTCATGTGGTCTCCTGGGGCCTCCTGGAGCCTGTTGGAGCCTCCTGTGGCATCCTGAGAAGAATCTGCGCCCACGAGCCTGGCCACCAAAACAAGCAAACCGATCGAGACATCCTCAAAATCTGGCCCACCTGGGGGGGGGAAAATGAGCGCCTCGCTCGAGACATCCTCCAAATCTGCTCCGAAAGCGAAGGATGTTGGGCACAGAAACAAGCAAACCGCCTGAGACATCCCCACAAAATGGCCGCGAACGAGCCCGTGCAACCACCCCTGGCGGCTCCCCTTAGGGGTGCTGAAATGAGCGCCTCGCTCGAGACATCCTCCAAATCTGCTCCGAAAGCGAAGGATGTTGGGCACAGAAACAAGCAAACCGCCTGAGACATCCCCACAAAATGGCCGCGAACGAGCCCGTGCAACCACCCCTGGCGGCTCCCCTTAGGGGTGCTGAAATGAGCGCCTCGCTCGAGACATCCTCCAATCTGCTCCGAAAGCGAAGGATGTTGGGCACAGAAACAGGCAAACCGCCTGAGACATCCCCACAAAATGGCCGCGAACGAGCCCGTGCAACCACCCCTGGCGGCTCCCCTTAGGGGTGCTGAAATGAGCGCCTCGCTCGAGACATCCTCCAAATCTGCTCCGAAAGCGAAGGATGTTGGGCACAGAAACAAGCAAACCGCCTGAGACATCCCCACAAAATGGCCGCGAACGAGCCCGTGCAACCACCCCTGGCGGCTCCCCTTAGGGGTGCTGAAATGAGCGCCTCGCTCGAGACATCCTCCAAATCTGCTCCGAAAGCGAAGGATGTTGGCACAGAAACCGGCAAACCGCCTGAGACATCCCCACAAAATGGCCGCGAACGAGCCCGTGCAACCACCCCTGGCGGCTCCCTTTAGGGGTGCTGAAACCAGCGCCCCGCCTGAGACATCCTCACAATCTGCTCTCCAAGCGAAGGACGTTGAGCCCAGAAATACTGTGTATGAGTAAG